GTGCCCAGTGTGGGTAGTCCGGGCAATCCAAGCCAGGACTGCTTTGCAAGCGGGGCACCCCTGAGAACTGTCTGTCCGGGGTAGGGGTCGGGACCCTTTAAGCGCAGCCCTCGGCTAGCCTGAGACAGCATCTCCATGCTCTAAGTCCTCCTCTTATGCCCTGCCGGCACTGCTTCCGGCCATCCTTAAGCCCTGTTCAGAGTCCACTCAATGTGGACTTGCTAGTTCGAATTAGCAAAACGCTAATTCGAACTAGTTTTTAGTTCTAGAAGCGTTAGTTCGAATTAGCTTAGTTCGAATTAACTAATTCGAACTAAGTTAGTTCGAACTAGCGCTGTAGTGTAGACGTACCCTGAGGGTTTTAGAGGGAGGGTGTGGGTGCACGCACGCTTCTCACTTGTGGCCCCTAACTAATTTTTTTGGATGAGCAGCCATGATGCCAAAAAAGTTCCCCTGATTTAGTGGATCTCCTATAGTGGAAACAAGCCCCAAGTTGGTAATTTAAAAGACAGCACTCTACCCTTTGATTCACTATTCTATCACATACCCAGAAATAGCTTCTTCATTAGAAAGTCTTATGATGAAAAAGGCTCTTGCCCTGTTACAGATTAGGAATTTTTTCACTTGCAGTTGGATATTTTTAATTGCTCGTTTCAAACTGTAGTGTGCTGAACATGGTTAGAAGCAGGCTTATCCTGTACATTAAAGTGGATGATGTATTTCAGTCCTCATGAAATACAAAAATTTGTGTAGTATGTTTTTTAATGTTTTCTAAAGAAAGCATAAGTAGCAGAGTGCACTACTACATTAATGTATTATTAGGTCAAATTTGAAATCTTAATAGTGTTACCAATTCCAATCTATGCAAATTAAATCCACCCAATTGGTATGACTGGCTACCTCAACCCTGATAGTCCCATGTAAGTTCAGGTGATACATATAACATGCCTGACTGAAACCTGGAAGACAAGTGGGGCGTTCATGAACACATGGGTCACTCAAGCTTTTAAAAAGAACTGAACATTGCAAACTCTTAATTAAATTTTATTAGGAAAATCTAAGTTAAAAAGTTTAAAAGGCTGTTATGAACATTTAGAATGGGACTCAAAGATGAACTTTATATAAACAGAAGGATTAAACAGCATCCAAATTAAAATTTAACATTCATTTTAAAATTGGTAGCCCATGACAAAAATCTTGTTTTACTAGAATACCTAGTGTTCATCTTGCAGAAAATTTATCTTTCCAGAAAATATGGAGAAACATTGTTACATTATTAGGGAACAATGAACTGAGTTATCACATTTATACATTCTCACTTTACTGGAAAGTAAAATGAACACAATTCCATAACTTATAGCAAATAAATACGGACTTTTTTGCTTAAGTCATGCAATCACTAGAGCACATGAACAGCAAGAGACCACTTTTATTTACACTGATTAGTTTTAACATCTTAAAATGCTGTATACATTGCCATTATTTAAAGTGCAAACAATGTATGCTGAATTCTCCTCTCAAAAGGCATAACAGGTATGAAGGGAAGTTGAAATACTGCCATGAGTGGTTATACAACTAACCCAGGGAGCTGGCAGTTTATCTGTAGCCCTTACGATGTTTTAGTGTAATATTCTCCATTGCTTACTACCAGCCAAACATGTATTCCATAGCTTTAGATACAATACTTTCATCTTTCCTTGGAGTTTGTCTGTCAGAAACCACCTAAAACAAATAAACACACTTGGTCAGCCAGTATGCTCTCATTCCATTTACACACCCCAGATTTTAGAATTACCATGACTATAAAAATAGCCATCTAGGGGTCTCAACACTAACATCTTCTTAGAATGGACAGAGGTTTTAAGAAGCTGGCTTTCTAAAAAAATTATTCTGAAAGCTATGTAGGTAAGTTTGAGTTAAAAAGGCAACAAGTGGGAAAGAAGCAAACTATACCCTGGTCTACACTACAGAGTTATTTCAAAATAATTCCCTTTATTTTGAAACAGCAAATAATGCGTCCACACTACCAACCCTGTTGTTTCAAATTAAAGGGACTGGTTATTTCAAAATAATAACTCCTGCTTTCCACAAGGAATAATGCTAATTTCAAAATAGTTATTTTGAAATAGCTATAGCATGGACGGTCCACTGCTGCTATTTCAAAATAACTACTCCCCCAAGTCATTCAAAGTAATTACTCCTCAGTGCTTCCTGGGACTCTAAGTCCAGGTAGCACGTCTACGTTAAGCGACCCTGTGTTGAACTAATTTCGAGGCTTCCCTGTAGTGTGGACACGCTATTTCAAAATAGTGATTTCAAGAGTTTTTTCAAAATAATTTCCTAGTGTAGACATGCTCTTAGGTATGGATGAAAAAGGAGTTACGGAGAACAATGATCTAACATCCCCACTATTCAGTATAGAAAGTATAAACATGCATTCAGCTTGTCTGTTTTGGATTCGTTTTTTGTTTTGAAGTTTACCTTGACAAAGTCAAGAGGAATACAAATTTCTTTTACAGAAATCTGCGAAAAGTATTTTATTGCCTAACATTCTCTACGGTATCAAAATACCTGATAGTCACTAGTGGATGCTTTATATGCTGTTGCAAGAGGTCTCATTGTAGAAATCCTTGGAGAACTTGCAGGCTGTATCAGTGTGCCTAAGGTTTTTGTCGGTGGTGTGAAGACTGAAGATGCAGATGATGCAGAGCCTCTATCAAAACTTTCCATCACATTCTTGAAAAAGAAGAAGAAACACTATTTCAATTTTAATAAATTGGAAGTAAATACCAGGTGCATATCAGTATAATTCCCAGCTACTGCAAAAAAGGAGTGTCCCAGTAGCTCAAGCTGGACCAGGACTCTAATAAAGTAGCCATTATGTATTCAGTGAAGAACATTACAGAGAGCATGCCAGACCTGTACATGTTCCATGATAAACATTAATCCACAGAGTAGCAGTAAGAAAAATGCTTATTTAAAAGAATGGTATGATGGTAGTACAAGCTTGCGATGGACTAATAATTTACTAGTCATCCGGACAATGTCAAAACCAGTTTGAAAACAATATATAGACATGATTTTAGTGATTTATAAACTAAAAGCAAGTGTCAACAAGCTTGCAGTGGTTCAATCTTGGGTGCTTTATACTAAAGGCTATGGATTCAGTCAAACCTGGTTAGTGTCTAATCAGCCCTTCATCCTTCCATGAATCTACTGCCAAATAATCCTGGATTATCTGTAGAGTTAGTGATCTGATAGGTTTGTATTTTGTCTTTCCAAATATGTTTTTCCTCCTTTTATTTTTTTTGATTCTACAACACAAGACACGCTTCTTGACAGCCAGCCCATTAGAGCTGGGGCAAGTCTGTCCTGTTTAGATTTTCTGAGCAGAATCATTTGTTTGCCTACTCACTTTCAGTTGCATTTTCCCAGTTCTACGTTATTCCTGCTCACCCCTCACATCCTTTAATTGAATATGTAACTTAACCTCTTCCCTTTAGATGGTTTACAGTCACACTTGAATCCCATTATATCTGACAGTTTAGTCAGTTTGTGCAAGTAAATGGATGAAATTGTCAAGGTGATCAGATTGCTGCAGGAATCTGTGTTTTAAAAAAACAGGTAGGCATGTTGTCATCTTAATGTGGAAGAGATGATTACCAATCATCATCTATGCACCAATTTGGATGAAGATCTCTATACAGGCAGTCCCCGGGTTACGTCAATCCGACTTAAGTCGGACCCCTAGTTACGAACGGAGGGAGGGGGGCACAGATAGTGCAGGGTGCCTCCCTACTGACCCCAGGCTCCATGTCCCCAGGCTTTGCAACACTATAGGGAGCCTGGGGACACCCCAGCAGTCTGGCCCCAGGCTCTACGTGGCACTGCCACTTTCAAGTACCCACCCCTCTTCCCCCGCCTTTGCTGCCTCTTTCTGAGGCAGCGGAGGGGGAGGGAGGGGAGCAGAGTAACTAGTCAATAGGCTATCCAATAAGCAACTGCTTATGGGACAGTCAACTAGTCCTTCACATCCCTTTAAAAAGAAACAAAAAACAAATCAAAGATATCCTATAATTTAATTTGTTATTCCATACAGACTAGATGGTTAACTTACTTTATCTATACAAGGCTTGACTCCAATCATGATAGATTCACCAAAAATCCTTCCATCTTTGCTTAAGGCTTTTCGAGCTTGTAGTTTGGACTGGTATCGAATATGCATCCAGTTCCCTGTATTGGACATCTGTATGGGGTTAGGATGGAAGTAGTGAAATTTAGTATTTGAAGAATGAACAAATTTGCATGTGTTTTAAGAGAAGATCAACTTAAGACTTACAACATGCTTTAATATATTTCCATATTGTGCAAACTGTAGTAGAATATATGAAGCAGATGCTTGAGGAAACCTAAAGGCAAGAGACAAAACACTCAAAATCCTATTCAGTGACAGACTATTATAGAACACACTAGACATTCAATTTTTGTTGCTGAAATACATATATTTGGCAGAGTTCCCAGAAGAATACAGATCAACTGAACCGTTCATTAAGCACTGATTCTGAAACAGTATTTCAGATAACAGTGCTTTAGGTCTTCTAATAGTACCTGACTCCTCTAGTAACAATTATCTACACTCTTGCGTAAAGAGTGAATGATGTGGAGATTCCCTAAGGACTCCACTTTACTAGTTAGTAGATGTATTTACTTGCTGTCTCCTGGCTTTAAGAATGAAGTCCTGTGATTGCTAACACCCTAGCAAAGTCCTAATGCTGCTTCTTTCTGACCTTCCACTCCCCACTCACATCTACTTCCTAAGCAGCAAGTTAAATTTCAGTGTACTGTAGTCTAGAAAATTGAAGTATTAGTCAGTGATGTACAAATTGTACATCTGTATGTACTGGTATCAAACAAAGCAGCCAAGTATAAGGACACTGCAATTAGATTTCTTAGAGAAATGCTGCAGATCACTCACCCAAATACAGTAACCCATGTGTCATCAAGATGATCTTCTGAGGTTAAGGAATCTCCTTGAGTGTAGAAAGGATCCATCTGAGCTGGAGACAGTGTGGTCTTCCTGGGCTGTCCAATACTTGCAGGACTAAATACACCTGTGACTGTTAAATTGAAATAAGACTGGTTTCAAGGAATGTCACTGTAACTAAGCTCATCTGATGAAGTGGACTTTACTCACAAAAGCTAGTGATATTTGTTAGTGTCCAAGGTGCCACAGAACTACTCGTTTTTAAAGTTACAGATTAACATGACTACCCCTCTGAAGCTAGTCAAAGTAGTTTTAGAACAGTAGTTCCCAAGCAGTGGTCCAAAGCCAATGGGGGCACTGCAAGCAGGCTTCAGGGGGTCCACCAAGCAGGGTCAGTGTTAGTCTTGCTGAGGCCCAGGCAGAAAACCAAAGCACCTCTGTATGGGGCTTAAGCCCAGGGCCTGAGGCCTGCCTCCTGGGGCTGAAGTCAAAGCCTGAGCTATTTAGCTTTGTAGGGACCTCTGTGCTGTGGGAGCTCTGACAACCGCCCTGCTTCCTACCCACTAACAGTGGCCCTGGTCTTTATATGCAGAAAAACAGTTGTGGCAAAAGTGGGCCATAGAGTTTTTAGAGCAACTGGGGGGGGGAGGGAGGAAGAGGTGAGAAAGAGAGGCCCTTAAAAAGAAAGACTGAGAACCCTGATGTAGAAGCTCAGCACCCAAGCAAGAGTATAAATTTGAGTCAGACAATTTTTCCTGTGAAAATAACCTCTCTTTAGTTTAACACAGGAGAACCTCATGTTGCTAAGCTCTGTGACTCAGCAAGTTATCATACCTTCATCTGCTGCTGCTAGAAATGGGACCAAATTCTGATCCTGCATCTGCTGAGCAGAGGCTACGGTAGGAACTTAGAACCCAGCAGAAAGCTTTACAAGAAGCCACAGGGTCCATAGAACAAATGGTGGCACCATCTGTCATCCTCCACAGTATTCCTTAAGCGCAGCTATCTCTGCTTCAGTGTTTAATATGGCATGAAGGAGTTCTGCTGCAAGGAGCAGATTAATAGCTGTAATTTCTAGTTCTTGCCCTGGCTACAATACCCTAACAATAAACAAGGCAGTACTTTCCTGCTCATAGCTACTTAAGTTCAAAGCAATCTACAAAGAGAAAGAATTCAGAGAAAGTAGGCTCTCTACCACAATAACAGTAGTACAGCAAGCAGTTTGACAAGATATTTACCTGTTCCAGGGGTTGCTGGCATAGCCCCAACCAATGGACTCTGAGTTACAGAAAAGCTGGGCTGCATTAAAATACAGAAAAATAAATCATAGTTGCAGGTATATTCTTTTCATACTCAGGAAAGACCAGTTTTCAGCTCACTCAAAAAAAAAAAAAAAAAAAAAAAAAAAAAAGTCAGGAGAAAGGGTAATTTTTGCCCCAATATCAATTTAAAGCAAACATCCTTCTGCTTACTTGATTTGCCCATTTGTTTCGCAAATTGCAAGTGGATCCTAACAAGCAATAAAGTTATTGAAAATTTTGATCTGAATTTATTTTGATTTATATAATCTGTTAAATTCCTTATGTACCCAAATAATCCTCAATTGTTAGGAAATGAAGAGCTTAATTTACTATTTGTTCTTGTGTAATGAAGTGCAATTAACTATGGGTCTTCTGATTAACAGTATCTGGCTTTTATTTTTACACAGAGAACTCCTCTAGTAACCATTTTACATTGCAGAAAGACTGTAATCAGCATTCTGCCTTGAAATTTGTTCACAAGGCTGTTGCTATCTAGACAGCAACTGACTACCACACTGTAAGGACATTTATCCACACCAGAGGAGGTAGGGGCTCTGAACTACTGAAATAAAAGTCTGTTTTCCTATAAGCAGCAATGCTTTGCCAAGAATTAATAAGTATTTTGCATCTATATCTAAACACCATTCTTTATTTTGAAGAGTTAAGTAAACATAATTCACCACAGCCTAATAAGTATTCACAAACATATTAAATGAGAAGCCTCACTTGTAATAACTTTTATAAAGAACTGATAGACATCTCCTTCCCTTCACTCAGTTTAAAGCTTCAGCAATATCTGATGAATGCCCAGAACACTCAGCTGGATAACCTATCTTTGAATGACTTGTACACTACCCTATCTATTCTCTTCTTTCCCCTCCCCAAACTGAAAATACTGTATTGAGAAGTTTAGGTTTCTCAAAAGGAAATATCAGTGTTTTAAGTCAGGGGATAGCTTTCAACATTAAAGGCAGCAAATATTTTCTTAAATACAAAATATTATTAAGAAAATATAAGTACTTTAAAGTTAACAGGAGCTATTAACTACAGTGACAGAACTGGTATGTATTTTAAAGTCTCCAGCCTACATTAGTGGTTTCTCCTCTTAATAAAACAACACATTTTCAATTTATATGATCTTTTTGCGAGGAAACATGTCTATGCTTTGTTCAGGACCCAGTACAACATCAACAGAGTAAGTCAGTTCTCTTTACCAATACAGGAATTTTCAAATGGACAGTATTTGCCTCCTGATCCATAATGAGAGCGCTAACTTCCAGGTTTCTGAATTGACCTTCCAGAAATCTTACTTTTGGCCTGTTCCCATCAGAAACTGAAAGTTTAAACAGGCATTTACTCAACTGAATTTAAATAAAAACCAGAAAGACAGCTTACTATTGCTGGCAGCACCCATTGTTTCAACAATATCTTCTCATGTATACTAAATTGTTGTTGCATCGTTGATACACCCCAAAAAACTTCTAAATACAGGAAGATTAAATATATGAAGTCTTAATTAAGCTGTGATAAATATGTAAAACTATGCAACTTCTGGTTTGATGCAAGAGACTTGTCTGTTTTGTTTCAAGAGAAGCTCCTTTTTTCATATGTCACCCTCCAAAGTCATATAGAAGAAAGAGGAGGACGAAAATGAAAGGATGCTCATGCTGATATTACAGTACTTGTCAGACTAAGAAACTGGTAACACAGACTAAAGTGAAAATTGAGTTAAGATTCTGGATCTGAAGCCTCTTACTAACCAGGTCACAAAAGGCATTCAATATTGAAATAAAAATTGTATGAACCCAATCTGGGAAGTGAAGGCATTCACTTCCAAGGTTAACTCAAGTTTCAGTTTAGCTTTGCAACTAACCTTTAAGATTACCACTTACTGGTCTTCTTGAGGTTAGAGGTGTAGATCCAAGTCCTGGACTAGATAATTCATCATACATGCTTCTAACAGGTGGAGCACCACTTTTATCCTTATGTGTAGGAACTACTGGTTGTGGAGGAGATCCACCTGCAATGAAAAGGAGCAAGTAGAAAGCCTATCATTTTTTTTTAACTCCACTTGATTAATTTCAAAACTAGCTTTTTGACATTCAGTCAGCAATCATCAGATTGTTTCTGAACCTCCATCCCGAACACCTACTTTCTATAGCTAAGGAGTGACTGCTCAACCACACTGTTGAACAGTTTTGAGTACACCTCAGTCAGATATATCAAAGGGCCAGATTTTCATATAATCAATTAATTCCGAGTAGAACTAGCTCCTTCAGTTGTCCCATTGAATTAAGTGTAACATTTTACTGAGAAAGGTTCTAAAAATGAGGAAGGGTATCAGAACCCAATGCCTAATAATTACCCAAGTGTGCACTGGTTTTCCAGTGAAGTGGATGGCAATGCTTTTGTTGCTTACAACACTTGAAATTATCTACAACACAGCATGAAAATATACTGCATGACACAATGTTGCAGAAAAAACGGAACAGATTTGGTAACCTCAAAGATTATACAAACACACACTCTGATTGCAGTCCACTTGCTGGAAGTGAAATTACCTGTACACTTCACATTTTGTGCTGAACTTTGAAATCTATCTTCTTGAAAGTGTAGAAAACATCCCTAAATATTTAAATGGTATTCTATTGTAGTTTAATCAGGCAATTGATTTTTTTAAATCGTTGGGCAGCTCTAATATTTGTTTAACAACTGTTTTTCCAGTTCTCTTGATGTTTGATGGTACAGATAATACTATGTAATTACAGCAATAGTTTTGTGATAACCAGCTTTACTGTAGCTAACTGTAGCAGAAGATTTCATGAGAACCTAAACACGAATCATGAAGGACCACTGGATCTTACTCAGATATCTTTATCATCGAGGATTCTAACACATCAAGGTGTGAATGCAGTTAAACTATTTCATTATCATTCCTCAAGTTACTTCTTCCCTTCAATTTGTAATATTTGTGCTATGTCTGAAATTAAGTGTAAGCTTACAGGGCAAAGATTAACTGCCTATGAACTTATAAAGCATCAGCTTCAAAACAGGGCCACAAATCATAGAATCAGAGCTGGAAGAGACCTCAGGAAGTCATCAAGTCCAGCCCCATGCCCAAGGCAGGACCAATCCCAACTAAATCAACCCAGACAGGGCTTTGTCAAGCCGAGACTTAAAAACCTCTAGGGATGGAGATTCCACCACCTCCCTAAGTAACTCATTCCAGTACTTCACCACCCTCCTGGGGAAATAGCTTTTCCTAATATCCAACCTAGACCTCCCCCACTGTAACTTGAGACCCTTGCTCCTTGTTCTGCCATCCATCACTACTGAGAACAGCCTCTCTCTATCCTCTTTGGAACCTCCCTTCATGAAGTTGAAGGTTGCTATCAAATCACCCCTCACTCTTCTCCTCTGCAGACTAAACAAACTCAAATCCCTCAGTCTCTTCTCAGAGGTCATGTGTTCCAGCCCCCTAATCATTTTGGTTGCCCTCCACTGGACCCTCTCCAATGCGTCCACATCTTTTCTATAGTGGGGTGCCCAGAACTGGACACAATATTCTAGGCCTACATCTACATTGCAGACTTCTTGCGCAAGAACTTTTTGTGCAAGAGTTCTTGCGCAAAAGCTCTCGTGCAAGAGCACATCCACACTGCCATATGTTTTTGCGCAAGAGCATCCATGGCAGTGTGGACGCTCTCTTGCGCAAGAAACCCCTGTTGCTCTGATGGCCATTTTAGCCATAGGGATTTCTTGCCATAGGGATTTCACAAGAAACCCCTGTTCCCATCCACACTGCCTTCTTGCGCAAGAGGGATTATTCCTCGTTGGGAGAGGAATCACTCTTGCGCAAGAAGCCCTCTCTTCTGAGGCTTCACTGTAAATTTACTTGTGCAAGAACATGCGCGCAGTGTAGATGCTCCGCAAGTTTTTGCGCAAGAAAGGCTATTGTTGCGCAAAAAGCCTGCAGTGTAGATGTAGCCCAGATGTGGCCCCTCCAGAGCCGAATAAAGGGGAATAATCACTTCTCTAGATTTGTTGGCAATGCTCCTCCTAACGCAACCTAATATGCCATTAACCTTTTTGGCTACAAGGGCACATTGTTGACTCATATTCAGCTTCTCATCCACTGTAATTCCCCAGGCAAAAGCCTTTGAGTGCCACCATAACACAAGGATATTTATTATGAGCTACTCAAGAAATTAAACTAATTTAAAGAACCTTGATATACCCAAAAGAACACTTACATGGGCATGCTTAAGAGAATAGTTGTACATGTGGAACTTGGTAAGTCAATGTCTAAATTAAACTTCTATTGCTATGCAATTCAAATGCATTTCTCACTCCTCAATTCCCGACTTCAAGAGTCCCTATATACAAAAGAATTATTCGTAAGCAGGAGTATATATACATAGCAGATGAAAAGTTTGATGAGCATATGTTTGATTATTCTGCGATAGCTAGTGCCTTAACAATAGGTGCGTTCCTTCCTGCAATAGCAACATCTAATCAGCCACATACACGCCCAGCCAGTCAGGCAGGATTAACTTGGGCAGTTAGTAGGGTTGCCAACCCTCAAGGACTGGCCTGGAGTCTCCTGAAATTAAAGATTGTGTCATGTGAAAAAACCTTGAGAAGTATGTTTAACAAAAACTGGTAACCTGTACTGGCTAAAAAGGGGTTAAACAGCCTTTGGGGAGGGCTGAGACTGGCTCCTCAGGAGATAGTTTAAGGCAGTCAATTGGGGCCCAGAGGAGCTATATAAAAAGTGCTGTAAGACAGAGGGACTCAGTCTCTCTCCAGCCCTGGAAGGAGAAAGACTGGCTGCCTATACCACAGTGGTTCTTAGAGTGTGGTCCCTTGCATGTGGGCCTCAGGCTCAGCAGCCCTGTGGCCCCCTCCCTGTGAGGTTGGAGCACCAGTGCCAGCGTTCCACTGTTGGGGAGGGAGGGGAAATGCGATGTGGGAGTGGAGTCTCCTGGGCCAGATTCAGTTCACAGGGTTAGGAAGTGGCTCCGCATGCTGCCAATCCTCCTTTCCCCCAGTTGGGGGAATGGCAATGCAGGAAACCACTCACCTGGAGGCTTTCCTGCTGCTCCCATGGTCAGAATCATGGTCAACGTGAGCAGCGAGAGACCGTGCCTGGAAGCAACAGGGGGATGGAGCCAGTAAGCACCCTCCCCCCGTTACCCTCATGTCCAGATCTCACATACTACTCTGAAACCCCCCTTCCCACGCTCAGCCTGTTGTTGCACCCATTTTGTCATCATGGGTCGTTGGCTGGTGGTCTGCAGAAAGGTCTGTGTGAAGCAGGGAGGACCACCGGCCAAAAATCTGGAGAATCACTGCCATACAGCGAGGTTCCCCAGACCGAACAATACTGGGGAAAGGAAGGGGTACCAGAGCAGCTCTGGTCTGACCAGCTCTCAGGCTGAGGACCTAATACAGAGCTGCAGCAGGCAGGCAGGGAAAACAGACAGACATCAGCACCACATACCCTTGGAAAAGGTTGATGGTGGCCAATTTAAACTGCAGTTTGTCCCTGATGAAAGATGTTAGACCAAAGACTGCAGAGCCTCACTAAGGAGAGTGTTGGGATGGGCATACCCAGGTCCCCTAAAAGGAGAAATGGAGGTGTGGGCACTGCCAGAGTGCAGTACCCAGGGGAGGGATGTGGCTACTGCCATGGTAGAATCCTGAAGATGACAAGTAACTACAGGCAAG